TTAATTAAAGGTATAAGATAAGTTATTGCAGTAGAAACTGCAAGAGGATTAAAATTTTAAAACTGGAGGCCAAAGGCCATCAGTACAGTTTTCTCTATGAGTTTAAGAGATAAATTTATAAAATTTTCAGGATATATGTAAATAGATGAGCTGAACAAGTTTACTTAAGACGCCAGGACAGGTTGCTTAGTAAAATAAAAAGATATAAGTGTTTTTAGACGAACGATTTTTTAGTTAATTTTTGTGCAATGGATTTGCAGAAAGAGTATTAAATAGAATAATAATTGGTTGAAAAAATAATAAGCCTACATGTTTGAATATTTCATAACTAATATCTGAAGGACTATAAGTTTTATTATTTAAAAACTAAACTATATTGAATTAACTTTATCAATAATAAATTCAAAAAAGTGTTATTATACTATTTAGAATTGATGTCTGGTTTAGAATTGTATCTATTTTGTTAGTTAGATTCATATATTTATTAATTAATATGTTAGTGTGATGTTCATTGATTAAAGTGTTGTTAAATAGAAGTTTAATGTTAAATACATCAATAATAAGATTATTGTTTGTTCTAATAGTATTAAATTTGACAGGATCTTTATACTAATTAAAATACTATTAAATATAAATATAAAAATAGGATTTGATTGTAGTTTATTACATTTTTTTAAAAAATTGTTATTAATTTGTTATTTAATTTTCTTAATATTTTCTATATTGCAAATATGATATAATGTTTTTTATTTATTTTTACCTAAAACTAATCAGTTTGTTACTAAATTATGCTTTGTTGATAATAATAGAATGTTAAAATTACAAAGTGTATTAATATGAATAATAAGTTGATTATAGTAAAATAGAATAGATATTAAATGTTAAAATACATGTTTGGTTTATTGAATAATATTATTAAGCTTTTTAAGATAGTGGTATAGTTTTGAAATTTTTATAAAGAAAATATATTGAAAATTTTTAACCATAAATTTTTTGTTAGAAATATGTTATAAAACTGAAATGATAATATTATTTTGAATTTTGTGTCATGTAAATTCTAAGAATTCTAAGGTTTGTATATTGAATAGTGTTTAGTTAGTAATTAAGTTTAAAGTTACTTGGTCAAAAAAGAGTTGCCATTGTTCATTATTCATGTTTTTGTATAAGAATGTTATTTGTCAGGTTTTAATTAAATAGTAGGATTTAACAGAATATACATAAAGAAAAAACTAGTTAGAGATGAGGATTTTGTAATTATTTTGAGTACTAGTATCAGAATCTTTAATAATAAAAAAGTTAAAATAATGGAGAAGAGATTAGTTATCCTAGATATAGTCAATACTACTATTATATCTATTGCTTTACTATATAGATATAGAAGATTGTGTATAACTAGCTAAGTTATATAGATTATTATATTGAAGGAAATGAAATAGTTTATATTTGATTAAAGAAGATTGGATAAGATAATTAGATACATTAAAGTTATCTAAGATAATAAGTTGTATGTTTAGAGTAATAACTTGTTAAATTTACTATATAATAATATTTTGTACTAATGGTCTAAGTTAGGAATTGTTACATAATAAATAAATTAAAATAATTCTAAACTTAAAGTCATATTTAAAGAAAGATCTACTATGATAACATATCCTATAAAGAGTAAAATTTTGTGAATGTAACATTTAATAGATTTATGAATTATAATAATTATTCTAACTTTTGGATTATCAGTACAGAACTAGAGATAAATAAAATATTTAGATTTTTAAAGTTTGGTTATAAGGTTATTTGTAGTGATTTTAGTTTCTATAATACTGATGATTTTGAGATTATTAGAGAAACAGAAATCTTCTCAAATTTGTTGTTTTAAATCTTCATTATAACCTCATATATTATGTATGCAAATTGATAAATTAAATGATTTAGAATTTGTTTGTATTAAATTATAAGAAAAAAGTTGAAATAAACTATGATAATCTGCAGATACTATTATTTGGAATGAATAAAGAGTAAGGAAGAATTGATGATCTGAAAATGCTGGTATAGAAAAGACTGATGTTGATATGTTTGATTTTAGTTGAATATTTGAATAGTGTAATCACAGATCTTCCTAATTCTAACAAAAAATTATCATAATACTTTCTTTTTCTGTTTGTATTATTGATTTTTTTATTTGTAATTACTGTTTTCATTATATTAAATATATATGAATAAGTATATAACAAAGTCATGTTAAAGGTATATATATTAATATATACTCTAAGCATTCTTTTGCTATGTACTTACTTGTATAAGACAATCTTATACTAACAACTAATTACTTTCAATTGTCTCTGCTGTTTATCTTATCTAAATCTTCCTAATTATTCCTATTTATATATTTATCAATTATTACAAATATCCTTATTTAAAAATAATAAAAAGCAAGAAAATTTTAAATAAGACCCAAAAGTAAAATAATTTCAAATAAACAACCAAAATAAATAATTACAAATAAAGACCTAATACTTAAATTTATTATAAATGAAAGAGCGAATATACCATCAAAATTGCTAACCGATTTAAATATTATAGCACTATAATTAATTACTTTATATCTTGTGATTGTCAAACAATTAATTAATGCAAAACTTTTAGTTATCAAATGACTGACCCATAAAGAAAATTATGTTTATGTAATAAAGTAGAAACTCCCAAAAGCTAAAATATATAGGTGCATTGCATAAACAATGTGAGATATGCTAGTATATATTAAAAGGCCCATTTTGACATAAATAATTTTGAGTAAATCGAATTAAATGATCAAATTTAAACGTATCGATATATAAAATTTTTTACATATAAAACTCTTTTATTCTATCTAAAAAAAAAATTGAAAATTTATTAAAATGGGCCCTTTTATTATGAAACATCACATAATTTATTGTTATGAAATTATAAATTGTTTATCACAGAAACTAAGAAAATAAGCTAGGTCGTACAAAAAAAAAAAAAATTCAATAAACTCAAATAATATATATAAAATATAATCAAAAAGTATATCAGACTATAATAAAATTCACTGTTCATTTTCTTCTGAATTAGCAACTTTTTTTTTATGAGCGGCGGCAGCTTGAACTAAACGACCCATTTCGTCTACATAAAAGAACCATCCGTTAAATCATTTGATTTGATCAATATTTATTTGATCAATATTTATCAGAATACTAATTAGGATTTTATTGAATACTAACCAGGATCTTTAGCAGAAAGTTTCTCAAACATATCAAGGTCATTAATAGAAAGTAGTTCAAACATCTCAAGCAGTTTCTTAGAAATTTGTTCGCTATTGATTTTATTAGATTCTAATTTAATATATTTTTTATATTTAACAATAAGTAAATGTCAAAAAATAGTAATTTTTATTGAAAAAAATAAATTTAAGGAATAATAATTCTCACTTTTCTTTCTGTATGGCATTTGACCAATTTCTGTATCAGAAATACACTTTTCACCTGATATTATCTTTTCTTGATGTATTAATTCATTTACTCGTTCAATTTCTGGTCGTGACTCAGGATTCTCATCCCAGCAATTTGTATAAAGCTCAATATAGGAGTTAGTGGTCCCATTTATTGGGGCTTCCCGCTTTCCATTCATTATTTGGAGTGAAATTGAAACGAGATTACAATTGTCAAACGGAGGCCGGCCATTACTTGTGATTTCCCACAAAACGACGCCAAGACTATATATATCAGAACTTTTATCAGGGGTCTCATTAGGATCCTTTAATATCTTAGGGTCTACAAATGGTACGCATCCTGCTAACTTCTGATTTGATTTACTATTACGAGGAAGAACTTTTGAAAGTCCAAAATCCGTAATAATGGCTCTGATAACATTATCATCCTTTTGAATAACTACATTTTTTGTATGCTAATATAAAATAATTTGTTAACTATGCTTTAAACGATATTGACTATTAAAATGTGTATCTTACAAAGTCACGATGTAAAATTCCATTACTATGTAAAAAATGTAGGCCGCAGGTAATTTGCCTTGCAATATTGATCTTCTTCTCCCAATCTATAGTATTTTTACTCAAATAAGACCGCAAATTACCGAGATTTGCATACTCAAGTATCAGGTAAAGATCTATTTATAAATATTAGTACGCACATGAATTGTACATGAATTGAAGTTTATGTATAAAATTTACCATTTTCGTTGCTAGACATCGCAATTTGAAAAAAAGTTCAAATTTCAACACAAAAATACACATCCATTTTGCAACATGATGTAGGTTAAGATTTTTGATATCGATACCTTGATACACCAAAAAATTTGATTACATTTTTATATCCTACTGGAGATGATTTTTCTTTATTTTCTTCATCCGTTATACTTGAAAGTACTAATCCAATATTATGAAAAGCCTTAATCTGCTCAATTAAAAAATTTTATATTAGCATATAAATAAATTAGTTTGCATGTCGGTCTTACCTCTTTAATAAATTCATCGTTATCTGAATTTGTTTCTTCATAAATTGCCACTGATTTTAAAGCAACAATTATGTTCTTTTTTATCCATTTCGCCTTTGCTATAACTCCAGAACCTCCAACATCAACAAATTCTATTTTTTCATCAATCTCAGTCCAATGAATGAAATTTATTATATTATTTTCACTAATTCTCTTAATATAAGCCTTCTTAGTTTCATTAAACTCACGCCTAGTTGTTAAGTAATTGTTATCTGACATGATAAATAATATTCTTTAATTCAAGTTTTCGATTGATATTCTTAAATATTTAAATTATATCAAGTCATTTCGTAAACTTTTATTTATTTATTTATTGCTATATCAATTTGAGTTTTCACATTCTTTGAATTAAACTGTAAACAACACTCAATATAATTCCCATTGATCAATTTCTACTTTTATTGATAGACACTTCAGTAAGACATACGTAATTGTTAAAGATTAACATAAATCTAAATGCTAGTGATATAACGTAATTGTCACTGTTTCTTCTAAAAAATATCAGTTCACTTAAATATAAGCCTAATATATTTTTCACAAACAGGGTTACACTGCATTTTTACTATTTTTTGATTTTTTTCCTATATTTTACTAGGAAATGCAAGTCATGTGTTTGGAGTCTCGAGTAATATATCCAATCAACGTCATTGAACTGAACAGACGGGATATGTGATATTCTGATTAAGAACAAATAAAGGGTGGAATCCACGCAAAATTTGTGAATATTTGTGAATATTCAATGAATATTTGTGAATATTCAATGAATATTTGCTTCAAATATAACCAGTACATAGCTAAGTTTACATATTGTATTCAATGAATATCCGCGGATATTCATATAAATCCAGATACCCATTCAATATCATGATTAAGGATATTCACTTCTTAAAAAATGCTGTACCACTTAGAACTTATAAAGTACCATTTTACCGCCAATAAAATCGTTAATTTGTGAATAGTACTCAGTTTGAAATATTAACTTCTTGAATAAGGGATCTAACCATTTTTTTCTGACAATTATTTCACCGTATCACGTAGAGTGATGATTAATATTTAAAGTCTACTAATCATCATCAGGCTTTAAATATTTAATAATCACTCTACGTGATGCCGGTGAGTAATTATCGAAGAAATAACGTCAGGGAAATGATATGGACCCTTGAATAAGACCATCGGTAATGTACGCAGTACTAAATAATAAGTTTTTTCTTAGGTTATATTGGATTGGATTTATAAATTGCTTTCGAGCATTTTTATTAATACTCATGTTAAACTGGTTGTCTTATATTTTGTGGTTTATTTATTTATTTTTCTGCACATTGAGGAAGTTATTGCTTACACAGCTTTGTCACTGCATCTTAAGGAACAGGATCCGCGTTCCTATCTGGTTGTTACTAAGCGGTGCCGTTTACTTTGCCGACAATCATTTCACATTTGACCGACACCACATAGTGTTAGGATTAGCATTTTGTCAGTCGCTGGTATATATTTCAGCAAACTGTCACTTGGCGTGATGTCAGCTAAATGGCTGTCGGCATAATTGTCGGCGGACCCATTACTAAGACCCTAGCGTCACTAAGTAAAAAAAAATTGTATCTAAATTAAGTTAGATTATAAACGATTTGATTTTTTGCATTTCTTTTACGCTACAACCTGTTCTTGAAATCTGATAGGCTGGTGAAATAGTAGCGAAATTTTTTAGGATGGATGATGGATACTGGCTCCTTAGTTTCTCCATTGGTTAATTATTCCTTAATGCGTACATACGCACGTGGCTCTAACTATCCTCAACCTCTGGTACATAACCTATTATTCGCGCGTGATAATCTAATCTCCAACATACGAAGTCTTCGTGGCTTTTCCATCCTGAATGTGTGTACGAATATGCATACATTATTGAGCAAAAATTGCGAATACGTGCCGCAAAATATAATCACGGTTGGTAGATATTTTTTGACTGAGTTTTAATTTGAATAAACATGGTTACATCGAATCACATGAAAAAAATAACGTGCAGGAAAATCATCCTTTCAAATTTATCGGAAAATGATACATCGCTCATTTAAAATAAATCTGTAACCAATTTCAATTTAGATTTCCGCATTTTACCATTGAAATTCTCTATTCAATGCTTACCATGGTCAGTATATAATAAATAAATTATTTTATTGCACTCTTTATAAGATAAAATTATTGATCTTATTTCATAAACTGAGATAATAAATCATATTATTTCACTCATCGTATAAAATAATATGACAGTAATTTCAATAGATAAACCTTTTTAGTAACTGTGAAATAGATTATGTGTTGTCCTGGATGGGATTGTATTTGCAGAATTAAGACATTATGGTTATGGTTACTGTTAAGGTTAGATTTAGGGTTTATAATAAAAGTTTTTTTAATTTTGGCTAGTATAACTCGGGCCAAAACCACAAAATTCTCATCCGGACTATCCCGATTCTGCATCGGGGACAGTTTTCAATGGGGTGTTGTATAATAATATATGTAATATATAACATTATTTATATTGTGCGCCAAGAAAATTTTCGAAAATATGTATTGTTAATGATCCCTTATTGTTTTTAATAAGTAATATTAATATATACTTTTTTGTATTAAGGAAGCTATTGAAATTTACTTTTTTTTTTTTTTTTTACAATACATACTTTTTTATTGGCCGGCATTGTACTACCGACTTTCTACAAATGTATTTATTTTTAAACACGGATTATACCCCAAAAACTTACAAAATTAAATAAACCGTTTAAATCAAAAGAGGTATTTACATGCTGTTGAATGTAAATTATAAATATTAGATGCCACAGATAAGGTAATAAAGTTAGTCCAGGTTTATCTTGATCCTAAGACTTTTATTTTAAGTTCAGATATGCAGTCTTTAAGATCAGATCTTCAGATCAAACACCGAATTTAGTCCTAATCAATCAAATAATCTATCAATAATCTATCAATATTAGCGTTAAGATACTACTATACATATTACCTTTAAAGATAATTGTTGTCGCGGATCATAATGAAATCGGATTAAAATGAAATGAGAATTTCAATTTGACCCTCTAAACCCATTTATACTTGTTTATTATAACTTCTACCCCTAAACACTAATCGTAACCCTAAAAAAGTGCACCTTAAAAATTTGTATTTTTCGTGGTTTATCTATTTGACACTATCACTCATTTCATTTTAATCAGTCACAATTATTATGTATATTATCCAGCCACTCTGAACCGCTGAAAGACTAATCAAGTGACCAATTTTAAAGTCCTGGACCTAGAGACTTTACTATACCTGGTCGTAGAGTCTGTCACAGATAATTTAAAAATTATTACTTAGTTATTACATAATGGTAAATATATATATGTGATCCGTGAAGTAAAATACATATAAATAGACTAGTTTATTTTAAAACTACAGTGTATTTATTATAACTAATAGTTTATAGTCTCACCTCTAGGTAAATCCGGTTACGACTATGTAGATTTTGTAAAACAAATAAACGCAAAACCTTATTTTTCCAACAATGATATTATAAAATTGGAAATAAGTATGGTTATAAATTTTCCCATTAACTCACTTCCCAGAATTCCATTTTACCGACAGCCTATTTAACCGACACCCATTTGGTAGACAGCATTTTCCCGATATTACATTTTGCAGCACTGATTAGTTTATTGTATATATAAATTGGAACTGTACAGGTGGAATATTTAGGAATTTCACAATTCTGGCCTGCATTAGCAGCAAAATACCATAATGTGGGCCTATGTAGACTGTGCAGTAGATTTAAAATCTTCGACTTAACAGTTCTTAGTGATACGCATTTTATTAAATAAAAATCTTTTTAACTTTTATGACATGCGGTATATGTCTAGTTTGTATTGGAATTAATGCCACATAAATTTGTAACTTAGTATGATCTTATTCCTAATTGGTTTTATATTTGGACAAAATTGCAAAAAATTAAATTACAAATTGTATTCTTATAATAACATTCCTCAAAGCAATCTGTAAAATTCAAGCACTTGATCATTAAAATGGTTACAATATTGTATTTTAACAAGACATAAGAATGAATTTATAACTTTTTTTAAAATTTAAATTAAAATTTATCTAAAATTATTTAATTTTATTTAAATTGGTTGTTTTTTGAAGTTTTTTTAAATCTTAAGGACTATTACCTCAAAGTAGCCTTGAGTCTAGTAATTTATTAATATATTTAGTAATAATAGAATTTAATTACAAATTTTCAGCCTATATAGTTACTATTACATAATTATAAAACTTGGATTATTTTATTCTTAAATAGATGTTACTCAATGAAAAATATTTTATTAAGTTTTTAATTAGGATTTGTATATATTTAAGTATGTATTAATCATGTAACAATTTGTATTATAAAATTTAATTTGTTAGCAAATAATTAATTGATATTATTTTATAGTAGTAAATTTCAGCTAATTATTTGCTTTAAAGGTAAAGTTCACATAGATCACTTATTATATGATTTTAATCATAAATTTTTTTATTTGGTATTTAAAAATATTTTCACTAACTTAACTACTTTTAAACTTAAAGCAAAATTGTAAAGCAGATTTTTATGATTCTAATGATAGTAGAATTATTAAATTTAGATTAAAATTTATTAGGATAGATTTATTTATAGATTTGGTATTATAAATCTATTATAAAAATCATATGATAATTATATGATAATCAACTAATCAGAATATTACTACTGAGAATTTGAATTTACCACTGAGACTTTTACAATATATACAAGTATAGTTTTTTTAAAATAATATATATTATAATTTTTTATTATAATAAATAAATCATCTTAATTTATATATTCTAAAAATTTAATAAAATTTTGATGCATTTTTAAAAAATTTTATTAGTATCATATTTTTACTTACTATGTAAATCTAAATTTACTGTGCAATTATATGACAAATAATCTACATGTACTCTACCTTTAAAAGAACCAAATTTTATAATATTTATTATTATATAATCTATTATTAATGTTATTATATAATTATGATTATATTTACAAGTTATGTTGATTAATTAAGTTTAATTTAAAATTTTTGTATTTTATAGTATTGTAAAAAAATAACAAAAAAAATTTATAATCATAAAAGTTGTATAATAATTACTTTTATTATTATTTTATTATATTTTTTGTTTTTTTATAC